GGCATTAATGCATATTTTACAATGCATAAGCAGTGCATGCAGTGCAAGCAGTTCAGGCTTCAGGCTTCAGGCTTCAGGTTTCCACTAAGCAGCTGCCAAAGTGCTCGAAGGAGTAAAACTATGCGAAATACTTGTGGCAGTCGAGGCTGCAGTTTAAGTTTCAACAGAAGTTGAGTGTTGATCGCCGCTAACCGTTAATTGCGTGCGAATTGAGGCGCGGATATGGCGTGATTCTGTTTAACACTTAAGCGAGTTAACTTTGGAGTGCAACACGCATGACAACTTGCTCAACAAATGCCCGTTCACTTTTAGAGCTTGCATTTACTTGGACTCCTCTGAACTCTGCCTTCAAGAGGATAGTCAGTGGGTAACATAACTGAAAGGGGAACCTTAAATAATATACATACATACAAGCAAAGTGCGTTCTCTTTTAAATTTACGTATTTTTGAGAGACTCTTTGGCATCGATCAGTTCGCTTCTGCTCGCACTCGCTGTTATTAGCTCTGTTAGCGGCGGCCGTGTTATCGACTCTGTTAACGGCTCTGTTAGCTTGACAGACGCTGTTACGCCCAGTGGCTGCCCAACCAACTGTAAATGCTTTTACTTAATTTTATATTTGGAAATAATTGTGTTGTCTTAATGCTAAAAAGAGCAACTTACGACTGAACTATATTTGTAATGAATTGAAATGTAAATTTGAGTAAAAATTGAAATACCAAAAATGTTCATCGAATTTCTGCTCCCACTTTATTGGCCAAAAAATCTGCTGCAAGTCAGTGAAAATGGCCATGGACCTTTTTAAAGTTATGGCCCTGGGTTATGCTGGAGTTTAAGGGATTTAAACGCACACAGCAATGATGTTCAATGGCAACAGCAGCCAGCAGCCAGCTGCAGCCGGCAGCAGGAGGAGGAATCTGTCTGGAGGCGGCAGCACAGCCGTCAGAATTTGAATGGACTTGTAAATAGTTTGGCACTTGGAAATAAATTACAAGCGGCATATCTGTAAATCGCTTACAACCAACAGAATACGCTCCAATTGAATGTGTCGTTTGGTTCGAGCGGAGATTGTGTTTGATTAGCCTTCGATCAGTGGCTGGTAAACGTTCGCCCGGGCCCTCCAAATGGTTTATTTATGCTGTGGACTTGGGCAGGACTGCTGCGACAGCTGTAAGCGTGCCACGAGAATCTTTACAAATTGGCAATGGCCAAAGTTTGGCCGGCAGGCAGCTATCGATAAAAGTTGGGATGCGCCGCGGCCAGGCTCCCCCGGCGCTTAATTTCAAAGTCAAGTAACGGCGGAGTCTCGTCTTTGCATGCTGCCACCACTTTGATTGCCTCACTTGTGAGTGCCCCATCTGGGGGCAGGACTCGCCTCGGCACGCCAATATTTGGCAACTTTCAATTGCATTTCCTTGCCACATTAATTGGATGACTTTTGATTAAAGAAGTTGCGCTTAAATGCGTGTTGGAGTCGGCAACAGGAAACCAAACTTAATCTGACTTTTATTGGCTACAAAATGCAATGCAATATAATTATGTTATTTTGTAAATTTCAAATGAAATATAATCAAATTACAAAAACAATCAAAGGTGCAGTTTTATGCTGGCTGTTGGGTGGCCAACAACACAAATTTCGTGACGAAATCGCAAAGTTTGAAAGCCGAGCACGTAGCGGCGAGGAGCCACGATGCGGATACGGATACGGATACGGATACGGCCATGGACATGTGCCAAAATGGAGACACACACACACACACACACATGGCACATGGGCACACAAAAAACCGAGCACGTAATTGGCCATTAACAGCGACCGCCGCACAAAGGACTGGCTTTTCTCTGTGTCGATGCGTAGATATGGTTTGGTTTATTGTTGCGCTAAGCTGCAGAAATTGAATTAAAAAGTGCGAAAATTGAGTGCGAAAGCAATGAGCAGCGCTGCCCCCGGCTAAGCATAAATGTAAAATTAATTTCATTTGCATTTTGTTGATGTGTTTTTAATGGCGCTGCACGTGCGACGCTGATTTAATTGTGGCAAAGCGAGGTGGGACCTGGACACGGACAAACATAATCCCAATAAAATGCATTTTTCATGTCAAACGCCTGAGCTGGCGGAACAGCCTGAATGCACGCACAGGACTTTACGGAATTGCATGCAAACAAAGGAGTGGAGTGGCCCCCCTGCACATGGCAATGCAGCTCCAAAATGGTCGGGTATGGGAGGCTGGAGACGTGGCCAAAGTGCCGCTGCTCCGGCATTATGTAATAAGCAAAAGCAAAGCAACATTTTGCCTTGAAAAACTAATCAAATAAACGAAACGAAACGAAACGAAACGAGTCAAAGACATTTTGGCAAAGCAAACTTCAAGCCACAAACAGAGAGGCAGAGAGAGAGTCCATCAAGGCAGGGGCGGAGCTAACAACTGTTGGCATTTAGCTAAACAAGTAGACGAAACCGCTGACAAACGCTCCACACAGCTGCTGCCCTGTGGTCTTTCGAGCACATTTTTCCTGCTTCCACAAATTCAATTTATTGTGCAGTCTTAAAGAGAGCCACAGCCAGAGCGTTGCATTAAGCAATAAAGCAGCAAAAAGGATTATCTCTGGCACTCTCCTCCTGCACTCGCTCGCTGCCACAAGCGAGGAGCAAAAGTCAGCCAAAGTTGCGCTGATAAAAAATAAGAATAAGAAAAACTTTTCTAACTACAAAATTATATGAAAAAAAAGCCAGCACAATGGAACACAAACTTTGCTGCTCTGACCTTAGTTGCAGCTACAAATTCCGCCAAGTCCGCCAAGTGGTTCAATTAATTCAAAGTTCGAGCTCGAGCAAAAAGGGCAAATGACACGGCGCAGGGCTCTTAGTAGTAATGTCCACAGCCAGTCCACGGCAGATCCACGGTGGATCTTCATAATGCTCCACCTTCAGGCAGCCAACGAGCCACAAAACGAGTGGAAATTCGTTGCTTTTTAGCAGCAAATTGGATTCACTTTATTCACTTTCTTTGGCCTCTGAGTTATCCTTCATGTTTACCACACAATAGAGGATTTATGCACCCAACTATTTCGAGCATTCCTTAATCCAATCGTTTCAAACCTAAAGCTAAGAGCTTTGGTACACCCAAAAGCGAGTCAAAAACCAACATTCAGTGACCCTGAAGTTTGCTATTTTGTCTTAGACCCAAGCCATAAAGCCTCATCACTTGTACACACGCAAATGTGTGTGTGTGTGTGTGTGTGCCGCTCAGTCAGTCAGCTCTCAATCCTCCACGGACGGCGCACAAATGTAGGCAACAAAAAGCGTCGGCGGCGGCTGCTTCGTTGTTTGGCTGCTATTGTTGCCGTCTGCCAGCTTTCAACGCACTTAGGCATACACACACACACACATGCATCATATCTTGACTCATTAACAGCCCCGAGGCGCGTCTCCCGACGCTGAGCTGCGTTGCAAAAAGCGTTCCAGAACAGAGATTACTTTGCCTGCTGGGCTGCTGGGCTGCTGGGCTGTTGGGCGCTCAATGCCTCAGTTCAGTAGGTGACACCAATGCGCGTAGGTGTTTGCTGCCGCAGCGGCCACACATCGTCTGGCCTATATAGACTGCACACTCGATGCAGTGCAGTGCAGCAGACTGCGTGCACTTGACGCTATTGCTCCACATTTCTTCCGGCCATTGCAGCGGAGAGTGTGCCACACACTGCTGTTCGCCAGCTATTCGTGGAGCCTAAGGGCCTGCCGTGTGCCCCTTGAAATGCTTTTAAGAGCCAGCCACAGTCGCTGTGCAAGGTATGCCCAGAGTCGTCATAGATTTCGCTTACTTCTTGGATGCCGCGCTGTGCGTTTTGCCATAGATACGCGAAAGAAAAGTAAGCTAAAACAATTCGCACGCTGGCTGCTTGTAAAGTTTTGCCATCTGAAAATGTTCTTTTCTTACACGTAATTATGCAAAAGTTAAAAGCAAACCCCTGTCTCGCCAGGCAGTCAGCCGCGCGGAAAATCAGTCAACACTTGTGGCCTCGTTGTCGCGTTAAATTATGCAAAAAGGCAAACCCAACATGCGACAGGCTGCAAGCTGCAAGGAAGAGTTCATTAAGGAATCGCAGCTTATATTGGTCACTCCGCGGAGTGTTTACTGTTCCTTCCTGGGCGCCATAATTGCGCCTGAGCTGAGGTCAATTGGTTGGAAATTGCGTAAACACGACAAGTGGGCCTAAGGTCCAGGGTCTGTGGTCTGTGGTCTGTGGCCTGTGTAATCATTTAATTGCAAGTGACTTCAAGTGCTTGGCCGGCTTGATGGACGGGAAATAATGTGCCGTTTGTACAATCAGGGATTAGCAGGATTGCTGCTTGATTTGCTGGAATTTATGCCTAAATGCCTAATGCCTAAAGCCAGGCAACAAACAGGAGGAAAGCAGCTACAGAAATGCCCGAAAATGCAGCCAAAAATCGAACCCAAAACCTCCACTTCATGGCTCATTGAATGCGGCAAAGTTCAGGCAAAATCTTCCCTCATCTGTGGCCCTCTCCAGCAGCAGCAGCAGCAGCAGCCACTCCCACTGTCGCGTGTGTGTGGGAGTCGGGCGGCAAATTGGCTGGCACTTTAAGCGACAAGCCGGGCACTTAATTACACGTGTAGCGTTCAGTTCGTGTGCTGCGCGGGCATGTCCCTTGCTGTCAATTATGGTGTGTCCAACATGTGTACTGCAGCTGCAACAGGCAATTGTGTGGGGCTCTGGGTTTGAGCATCAATCACGGCGGCATGTTGAGAATAATTCCATTGTCGCAAGTGAAAAATTAAGTGACACGACTATTAAATTAAGGAAAAACATGTAAGCGGGGGAACTGGGACTCGGTTTGGGGTCCATCGTTTAGTCAGTTGCATCCAAATGGTTTATTGACATGCCAGGCAATCGCTGAATGTTTGCTTTTAATTTCTGCACCCAGTCTTGTCATGGTTTGTCGACTGCCCGCTAACTGTTGTTCCCGTTTTTTGCAGCCTTTCCGCTTGCAACATGATGGCCACGTCACAGGATTACTTCAATCCTTACGCCCTGTTCCGCGGTCCGCCCACCACGCTGCGGCCGCGTGAGTCTCCGCTGGGCGTTGGCCACGCCCACGCGCACTCGCACTCGCACAGCCACAGCCACATGCACGGGCACGGGCATCATGCACACGCCCATGGGCATGGTCACAGCGGACACGGCTATGCAGCGCTCGACCTGCAGACGCCGCACAAGCGCGGCATCGAGACCGAAGTGCGAGCGCCGCCGCCGCCACTGCCGCCGCCACCGCTGCCGCCGACTTCGCCGAGGTAAGCCCCGTCCCCAAGCCGAGAGGAGCGAGTGGGCCTCATGCATATCATACGCAACCCCCCCCCCGCCCACCCCCCACTGCTCTGGCCACGTCTTCAATCAACCAAAAAAAAAACAACACATCAAAACTTTTATTTCAAGTATTCCAATGCCCCTCAAAACATCACGCCCAAAGTTTGAATATAAAGTAAAAAATTAGAGCTAAAACTTAAAGTAGAAAAGTCATTTATCAGCATTTATTTTGCAAACAAAAGAATGGACTTTGAACCCATCAAATGAAGTAAAACCAAATCGTAAAGCTAAAGTAAAAGTAAAAATCCATTAAAAACCAAGGAGAGAAACGCCGGAAAGGTGCGCTGAGTAAAAGTGTTTGCTACGCTAGAAAATGTATCCTTAAAAACCGAAGGATAATAACTATAATAATCTATTTAATGCTTCAATAAGTAGTTGCAAATTTAATGAGGATTATTATGATGAATACTGCAAGAAATGAACACCAAAACGAGTTAGAGATTAAAACACACAACAAAACTAGAAATAAACACTTCAAGAAGCTAAAGTTTAAGCCACAACTAATGGAAGTATTTAAGGCACAAGAAATACAATTAAAATAACCAAAACTATTGCAGAGCATTTCAAGAAAGGAGCACTTGTACCGTTCTAGACTTAAGAGCAGAGTTAACACAAAAAGTATACGTAAAAGCAAGCAAAACAATAAATAATTCAATGAACATAAGCACAAATATCTAAGTACTAGTGGCAGTCAGTAATAATACATAAACACGACTAGAAGTAAGTACATACTGCAGTTAGCAGACAGTTTAAACAGCTAGAAATATTGCTGCATAATTGCACAGATAAATACTTGGAATAGACATACAAATAAGCCATAGCCAAGGAGTAGCCCAACCAAGAAGGAGCAGTAGCAATAATTGACAATTAGTAGTTGCAGACAGCTAGCAAAATAGCAAAATAGTTACTCGTAATAAATAATAAATACTCCAAAGTAATACTTTAATCAATCCAAGTATACGTAGAAAGCAAACGCAAAGAATTTCCCCACAAATCCTAGAGTAGAAGAATAAATATTCCCAAAATGTAAACACTATTAGCAGCCCTAAGCTTTAGGCTTAAACCGAGCAGGCGGTCAGCAGGCACCCATGTAAAATGCAAAGAAAGTAACTACCGAGAGTACAAAGTATGAAGGAGTCCCACAATTGGCCAGCCCAAAAAGGTAGATTACCCTTAAACATAGTTGGTAAGCACATTGTAAAGCAAACACTTTTACACGTTATATTGGAGCCAAGGCAGGGCACCAAAACAGCCTCCAAATCGAAGCCAAACTGTGAGAATTACGATGGAAGTGTGTGGATGGAAGTGGAGGCATCAGCAATCAACAAATCAACAATCAACAATCAACAATCAACGCACGGAGTCAGCAGCTGCTCTTCAATCAACACTCCGCGGCAACGTATTTGATTTATTTATTAGTCCAAATGGTCCATAATCTAGCTGGACTCTCTCACTCTCTCTCTCTTGTTAACTTTAAAAACCAAAAACCAAAAACCAACAATCAACATGCACCCCACACACACCAAAGCCCCCATCCAGCCAAGGCGGTAAGTGCGAAGCCATTTATATAAATTTAGTTGTAAGAAACCCAGACCCAAAAGTAGCCCAAAAACTAGTCCCAGTAGTGACAGTGCTTAGCCGCTGGACAAATGGAGCAATGCATCCATGGATGATGGAGAGAGGATATCCACGAGGATCGTGCTGCATGTAGCGTACTGGCTCTAGGCCTTCCAACTACTCACTTAGCTGCATTGTGAGCATGACCATAAATACAAGTAATAGCCGCAAAAAAGTGGCCAACAAGCCCTTGCGGCACCTAAAAACAATAAACCAAAACCTAAGTACAACCAAAAGGCGCTGAGCAACATGCAACGCCATTGAAGTGCGGCAACATGCAAGCGGAGTGCAACCAGAGATTAAGTCATTTTAGCTTTCAGTTCGCTTCCCGGTTCCAGTATCTGCCCGTTATGAAAACTTAGAATCCCCCCCCCGGCGAGGCGTTGATCAAATCTTGCGGAAATACGAGCCAAACAACCGTATTTAACGCCGTTCGGTCCGTTCGGACCAATGGCGTGGAGGCATGCGATAATGCTATTAATTCCGAATACCCCAACTAAATATCAAGGGGGTTTTAGTGCACAGAAAATGCTGAATATAATTCCACCACTTCGGGATCAAAACGGGCAAAAGAACTCAAATACTTAGCCATAAATTACAGCGATTTATTTTATTATGGTCTACGAATTTTTGTGCTTTTTCTTCCTATAAAACGCAGCGTTAGAGCTCTAATTTTAGAGATTTTTGAACACAAATCTGCCTCGGAAACCCCGAACCAAAACCCAATTGAAACTGCATTGAAATAAGTTAAAAATCATTGAATTTTGCCAACTAAAAAGAGTACCCCAAAAAGATTGCAACCTTTGGCTCTAAAGCCTAAACTTTTCGCACTGAAAGAGTAAACAAAAATCTTCGGTGTTCGCTCGCACATTTGTGCAGGCACAAAAGAGAGATTTTCTTTTTATAGAACAGTTTTTTGATTTACGGTGAAGTTTCTCTTTTGCAATTGAGTCAAAGTTTTGTTTCGTGTTGCAAGCGTTGGACATGCACTTCCGGCTCGGCTCAGTGGCTGCTCAGTTGCCAGTCGCCAGTTGCCGTGTGATTAAGTAACACGTGTAGCTGTCAGAAATATAGAGCCAGTGCCAGGTGCTCTCCCAGGAGTAGCAGGAACCCAAACTAAAGCCAAGACATTTATTTAATTGGTGGAGCTGGCTGCTCGTTAGACAGTTTGAAAGTGTCGCCGCTTTATCCTTTCTAATAGCCGAAGGCCGCGAATAATCAACATAATCACAATAGCCGTGATAATAAACGAAACGATGGCCTCGAGTCATGTGGCACCATTAGCGGAGAGGAGAGTGGCTCTGTGGGAGGCAGTCTGCTGTCGAGTCTGAGGCTGAGGCTGCAAGCGGCACTTGGCTTGGTCTTATGAATGCAGCAGACTGTGCAACTGGCACAGGACAGGAGCACACAACTCGGCTGGTTCCAGGCACGCACTGACACCGATACACACACACAGCAGCCCGTAAAGTGCGTGTGGATGTCCTTTGTTCTGTAATTAAAAAACTGGAGCTTGGAGCTTGGAGCTTGGAGCTCCTTGCCTTATGCCCAGAATTATGCGCATCCGGCCGGAAGCTGAGCCAATCTCTGTGGCAAAATTGGTATTGACCTGCCGCAAACAACAAACGCAGGAAGCAGGAAGCAGGATGCACACACCTGTGGCCAAGTCAATAAATCACACTGCAATGAGGCAATAATGGCCCATAGAGCGAGGAGCTCGAAGCTCGAAGCTTGAAGCTTGAAGCTGCTTGCAGACAGCAATTTGTGTTTTTTTCTGGCCCCGCTAATTGGATAGGAATCAGATGTTGGCAGCTAATAAAGCGACGCCGTCTGCTCATTATGGCCATGGCCTCCTTTTTGGCTTTAACAACCAAAAAACAAGTGTCTGTGGCGAGCCTTCAAGGAGCTTGCTGCGCCTGAAATCTTCCTTATTTTATGTTTTATTTCTGCTGAAGGTAACAAATTGCTCTTGAAATTGATTTGGACTTCTGCCCAGTCTCCGTCTCCAATGCTGCCGTTTAATAATGCATTAAAGCAAATGCCATCAAAGCGAGGCTTGAGCACAGACAAACAAATGGAGCGGAGACTGCGACTGTGCGGGAGACAAGAGTGCACTTAATAATTAAGTTTTGGCAACTGGCAAGCAGTTTTCACACTCAGCACTCGGCACTCGGCACTCGGCACTCCACTTGAAGGGAGAGCAAATGAACTGGCAGCAGAGCCAGGAGCTCCCTCATGGTTGCCTCGTCAACTGCGGCATTGTGGCATGAAGACTTTTCAGCTGCCGTTGATGTTTGCCTGCTTGATTCACTGCTGATTGCATTTTATTTGCGGCAAAGCGGCGTCTGGGGGCAACAAATGCCAAGTGTCTCCCCATATTAATCAGTTGTTTCCTCAGCCCACATGGAATTAGTTTAATTAAATGGCAGAAAACGCTCGCAATTCAATTACCTGTAATAGGAGCGGCTGCAATTTGGGTCGCTTAGGTGCTGACTCGCAGTTGGAATGTAATATGCGTCGCTTTGCGTTTATTACATTTGTTGGACAAAATGCAAAAATGCGTGCAGGTAACAGAGGTAACGACAATGGCAAAAATCAGGCACTCGACTCCGCACGTGCAGGGCTGCACAGCAGACACTAGACGGCAGGGTGTGCCCTCGGGGAGGCTAGCTCTGGTTGGGGAGTGGGGGGCTGTTTGTGGCCTCCCCTCCGTCTGGGTATTGCTGTTGCATATTTCATTAAAAATATTGCATGCCACATGCGTTGCGAGTGCTCGCTGCTTCAGTGCACTCCCCAGACCCAGCCAGACCCACCCCTAAGCTCAGACTACAACAAAATGGCGCACACACGCACACACATGCGTAACACTTAGGCGCCTTGGCAGCAACATGCGTAGGTGCGTGTGCCGGAGGGTGGGTTGTGCCTGTGGCTTACCCCTTTGCTGGCTTGTTTTCTTGCAACAAAAAAGTGCAACTTTTACCCCAAGCACCGCAAAGCAAACTTGGGCGAATGCGGTGCCCGGACCGAAGCAACTTATTGAATTTTTCGAGTGCGTTGGCTTAGTTGATTCTTTCTTTTTCCTTTAATTAATGCAGCCAGCTGCACTTAGAGCCACAGTCATTAATGTTCCTACATGCGTAGCACATAAGAGCGCGCCTTTTGTTCGGTGCGGGGCAGCGTCTCAGACCTCGCGTTTTGCTGCCTACTTTTGTGCGCCCGCTGGAACAGCCGCAAAGTATGCAGCAGAAGTGACATTGACAGCGGTGCAGCAGCGAGAAAATAAAGACACAGCACGCAAAAGGAAGAGGGAAACGTGCCAGAACGGGCTGGAACGAGCCCGAGCCAGAACTGGCAGAATGTCAGACGGAAAGCCAGAGGCAGAGGCCGGTAGAACATGTAACAATATTTGCAGCTGCAATTTAATCTAATTAACTTATGACATTTACCCCATAGCCTGAGCTACTGTGGCAACAGAAGCAACAATTGGAGAGGGCTGCGTGAGCGAGCAACGAAAAGATCAAAATTAGAAGAGTCAAAATGCGTCAAGAAATTGCAATGGGAAATGCCAACATTTCTGCACAAGAAAGTGGCAACTAATTTGGCAGCAGAGCTGTGCACAAATATATCAGTTTTTCAGTGCAATTTCACCGACTGAATGGAAGCAGCAACTGCCTCACCTTGCCTCACCACTGCCTCTTGTAATTTCGAACTTTCTGTCAATGGCAACATTTTCAAGTGGGTGACATTAAAGCCCGCGATGCCCGTGAGTTTTATTGAAGCACAGAACTGAAGGAACTGAAGCAGGAGCTGACTCTGTAGTTGCATTTTTGGAACTATTTTGATGTGTATAAAATCAAAAGAAAACCTGCACAAAAGTCACGCATATAGCCCTTACCTTTGGCTCCACTTTCGAGCACTTTGCCTTGGAAAACCTCACGCACGCATCGCTAACATGCCACAGAATAGTTGTCTGCTCCATAAGCGGCTTTAGTAATTTTTGAACACTTTGCCAGCCATTTCTGGGGTAACCTTCAGCGGCGGCTGCGACTGTCACAGTTACCTGGTCTGCTCCGTGTCCGTGTCCGTGTCCGTGTCTGTGTGTCTCACCCACATTACCTTTTTGGCGCCATGTGCAACGCCCATAAATTCCGCTTCCAGTGGCAAGCGGAAAGCTCAGCAAATTTTTACTGTGCCACTTATTGGCACTTTTGCTGCATTTGCGGCACTTCCAGGCCGTGCTCCGAGTCGGGTTAGTAAATGTCGGAACGTCGCGGCCATAAAACCGACTGCTCGGTGCTGGAGATGGATAAATTGTGCAGCCATGCAGAGATCAAAGTGAGTAGAGGAGAGCGAGCGGAGAGCTCTGTCTGGCCAGGCTACGGCTGACAATTAATTGTTTAGTTGGCAAACTTAATTGATAAATTGATGGACATTTAAATGCCCAACTAGAGCCATTAGGGGGCTCTGGCATTGGCAGCATAATAATGTCCCCGAACGGACCATTTTTGGTGCAGGACAATGCAAATTTCCGACCAGATTCCATTCAACGACATGCTTTGCCCATTTTGGCCAGTGCCGGAGGGGCAGGCTGGCATTGAAATTGCCACAAACTGGCGGCCCAATGAAGCTATTATTTTGTGGGCACAGGGAGCACTGACTGGCTGCCTGACTGCCTGGCTGCCTGGCTGCCGGGCGGCTTCCACGTTGGTGTCACTTACATGAAATGGCCAACGGTATGGGCTCTGGAGCCACAAGCCCCAACGGGAGCACTTTTCCCAATTAGCTCGAGGAAATTATCCGCTGTAGCTGTAGCTGTAGCTGTAGCTGTGTTGCATGCAACAATTGAACTAGATTATCCCCCATCGTCGCTTCGATTGTTTTGCCCCATAAAGAAATGGCATTCCCGACGGAAGACTCCTCCTCGTCTTGGTCC